CTATCAGCATAGTTGGTGCCAAGGAGTCTGTGTCGAGCGGTGCCGGGTCCTTCAGCACAGTCCTTATCACAGGCTGGGGCAGCTCGGCTGCTTTCTAACGTCTTCTGACTTGGGAGGGCTGGAGAGGCAGAAAAACTGATGCAGATGGAAAACAAAACCATGAAGGCAGGGGCTGGGACCGCCACGATCCCTTCAGATCCCTTCCTCCAGCTCTGCTTGCAGGAGAAACACCTGACACCCAAGGGGAAGCGGAGCAGGAGCCTCGATGAGCCAGCAGAAAGGAGACTGAATCCAAAAACCTCAAACCATCTCCCTGACAGAGATACAGTGCTTACCCCTCAGAGAGCCCAGGAGATCCTCGGGGCTGCCGATGGCATCTGTGGGGCTACGGGACCTGCTGAATGTGACCAGAGAGTCACAGGGAGCAGGACTTGCAGCTACCCCGGGTTTAGTCTAGGAAAAGATGTTGGGGAGATGGGGGCATCATTCCCCTGTTTGACACAAGCAGCTGTCCATGCGATACCATCCCGTTGGGGTAAGACAGCGCTGCTGTATGCCTGAATCAAGGGAGGATCAACGGGGAAGCAAGACGGTGGCTGACACTGTGAAAGGCTCTGCAAAGGCCCTGACTCACCAATGGGCAGGTTAAAATCAAATATAAATGATTTTGGAGTGATCTCTCTCCCGCACCCGGTGCTCACCCTGCATCTTTCTCAGCCCCCTGGCCCTGCCACAGACATCATGGGGTGGCTTTGAATGGGACATGCTATGAGCTCGGGGTGGGCGGGATAAACCCCAAAGCTGGCTTTCTATAACCCAGCAGGTTACAAATAGCTGGATCAGCAGTTCCTTTGCTAACAGCAGCTGTTTGGAGCCTGAGACCTAGGAACGACCTCCCTTTTGCACTAAAAAAGTACTTGCCCATCACTCAGAGAGAGCTTGCGAGTCGCTATGCTGTGGACAGGGAGCAGGGCAGGGCTGGGGGCTGCAGCACCAGTGAACCCTGCAGCTCGCCAAGCTCACCACGGTCCAGCTTTGCAAGAGCATAACACTAATCCCACGCTGCTATAGCCTTGCAATCTCTGTATAATCAATAACTGGTCTTGCAATCACGGTGTAAACTTCACAGGAGGAAGATTCACTTATCAAGGCTTTATTTGGGTATTTTTAATTCTGCCAGAGCAGCAAAAGCCCACCTGTATGAGCACCCCCAACTTCTCACTTGCCGCCACCAATTCATCACCCTCCAGTGGCCACCGCCCTCTCCCCGCACCCGGCCCCGCTGCGGTTGGGGAAGAAAAAACACTTCCTGCCGCCCTGCGCTTTCGAAGATACGAAGCAGGCAGCATCCCCGCTCACCAGGCGGGCAGAGCAGCCGGCAGCACCGCCGAGGTGTGAACCCCGCCACCGGCTCGCTGCAGGCAGGTGTCATATCCGGAGCCCCGGGGTGCGAAGCTGCTGCACGCAGGCTCTCGAAACCCGCTGCGGTTGGGGAAGAAAAAACACTTCCTGCCGCCCTGCGCTTTCGAAGATACGAAGCAGGCAGCATCCCCGCTCACCAGGCGGGCAGAGCAGCCGGCAGCACCGCCGAGGTGTGAACCCCGCCACCGGCTCGCTGCAGGCAGGTGTCATATCCGGAGCCCCGGGGTGCGAAGCTGCTGCACGCAGGCTCTCGAAACCAGGCGCATCACAGAGACATGACTGCTTAAAGTCTAAAAGCAGGGAGGTGTTTTGTTTTGTTTTTTTTTTTTGAGTTTTCTCTGCAATCTGTTCACATGCCTTTAACTCTGGCTGCAGACTCCCAGGACAAAGCTGTGGGATGGGACAGGCACATGGGATGACGCAGCTCCCCTCCCAAGTGGCAGTGGGGACCTGACATCTGGGAAGCCAACTACTGACCACAGCACCGCACTCAGAGCCAGACCATCCGGATGCAAGGCAGCACCACGGCATCTCCATCCTCCTCTAGTGCCCCATGAAGCCAAGCAGCAAAGGGATCACATGGAATTTGGGATGGGGGGGAGCAGCCGGAGAAATGGATGCTCAGAGTCACGTCCAAGCCCAGGCGAGGCTGAGTCTAAGTGCAGGAAAGGAGGGCTGCTGCCTTAGCTGAGCTTTTGTCCCAGCTGTTTATCGCTCCCAAGCCAGTGCTGAGAGAAACAGTTTTAAGCAGCATGAATGAAATTGCAACGCAGCAGGTTTCATGGGGATGCTGCCTCGGTCATCAGAGAGTTTCATGGGAAAGCAAAACAAAAAATAAGCATGCAGCTCAAAAAGAAGAGATGAAGGAAAAGAAAAAGCATGCTGGCAGCATCTCGGGCCTCCCCTATGAACCTGAAACACACACAAAACTGCAAGGGATGGAGATGTCAGTCTGCGTGCCTCGAGGAATTCATCACTCGACACCTCTTGGCGACCTCGGTGGCCAAGCGGAGCCCAGCTGTCCTGGTTTGGTGGCAGCGAGGCTGGCAGAGCCTATTTACCGGGCCCGCACAAAGGCCTCGTTTTGATCAGGTCCTTCACTCATTGCCCCAAGCCTCGTCCTAGAAAAGCATTGTCCCAAAGTCCCCTCCTAAAGCTGAACAACTCGTGCAACCGCAGACAGGGTTTCCTCGACTTCTTTTTCTGCCACTTTTCCACAGCAGGCAGCCAGCGAAGCATTCCTACCTACCTCGCCGTGGGTGGGGACGCGTGCCTGCGCTACGGGTGGAAGCTGCTCTTGCTTCAGCCCTCTGCCTCCAAAAAGGAACTTAACTGTTTCTTCTATTTGCCCTGAAGGAAAGGTGGTTTGGGCGTGGGTTTATCCCAACCTGTAACGCTATCACGACCTGCCTCCAGTTAGAAATCACAGCAATTATGCAGAGGATCATTTAGCGGCACAATTGGTATCTGTTTCTGCAGCAGAGATGAGGCAGACCAGGAGCGGTGTCCTCTTAGGAGGAATTTTCTTTGTGGGTTTTTCCGGCCACTGTGAGGTGCTCCCCTCATTCCCTCAGGCTCTTGCTCAGCTATGCATTTCTATTGCTGCCCTATATATTTGCAGGACAAAGAATTAGCTCCCTTTATTCAGGGATCTGCAAGTTCTTTGCAAGCCTTAATTTAAGCCTCTCAACAAGCCTGAGAGGCAACTCTGTAGTCTTAGCAGCCTCTTTCTGCCTTACAGATCAGCCCACTAAGACTGGTGTCAGCTCCGTGTGCTATCAGGTGACCTGGCATAAGTTCTCGATCTAAAAATGCCACGTTACCCCCTTTCCGCTGAATTATCAGCAGTGGACACTGTACACCTCCAATGCCCACTCTCCAGTGCCAGGAGAAGCCATACGACACCTGCCAATGTTTCTGGAGCAGCTTAAGCTAGAAAACCAGATGAACACTCTTTATCAAGGGCATGGTGTTTTGACCTGGTATGAGGAACCTTACTGTTGGATTTTCTGCATTGCCAAATCACAGACTAGGAGGAAGGATAAGCAACTCCAACCACACAAAATATCCACAGCTGAGCCCAAAGTTGAGTTACAGTTGCAACTGCCAGATCATATATTTCTCTGTAAGTTGGAGAAACAACGTTCACTACTAAAGTCATGGAAACAAAGCAGCATCTCTTCTACCGCCTTCAATAAGCTTAAAGTAAGATCCTCCGATAGGTGGATAGCTTTTACCACGCTAAGATCGTGAGCGAACGATGCAGGTCACACCACAAAGACTTCACTGGCAAAATGCAAAGTTCATGACCACGGTACCACTACAGCCCTTCGTGTGAGCCACAAGCTCTGCTCACACAAAGATCCTTCTGACTTGATCCCCAGAAGCTCTGAATCCCCAGATCTCTGTCAGTGGAAGAGCCAAAAATGGGAAAGTTCAGAGGTTTTTATTTGTGTGGAATAGATAAGGAAAGCAAACATACCGCAATAACCTCTTCCCTCGTGCGCAGCAGTCTGAAGGTTGCCCCCACAGGCGGGATGCACATTCTGTACCGAAGCCCTTAAATTTGACTGGGTCTAGTTAAAAATAAACTCTCTGGGTCAGCAGTGCTCTGCTACAGTGACATGTTCGACAACCCCAGTTTGCTCCCATTCCCCTCAGGAGCCGGATCACATTTCCAAGGAAAGGCTGGACTGGGGGAGCCCTGGCTGGTCTGGCCCACGGGGTCACAGGATTTCCCAATTTTTTCATGCCAGTCAGTTAATCTTCAAGCCGAAAAGGACCATCATAGGCGAAGTTTGACTTCACTCCCTTGGGTAACACCCACCCTGGCTTTCTACAAGGGCCCAGCCTGTTCATTTCCTGACTGGAGCACCCAGATTGGCAGGTGTCATTTTGGTTCACAGTTGACGTCTGCATCCCTATCCAGTCAACAGATACAAAAGGGCAAAGGTTAATTCGGGGACTAGATAGCTTCTTTCAGCCAATTTTTACCCCATCTCTCATAAAAACCACATGCAGATGCAACAATTTAGCAATGATGTTAGGTGCAAACACCCCCCCAGAGCAGCTACAAGAGGCAATTCTTCAGGGGCAGAATTAAAAGCTCTCTTTTATTAAAAGTTTCCGGAGGGGAAATGCTTTTTGGACAGTGACTCCTGCTGGAAAGGTGAAGCCAGAACAGCTACGGACCAGGCTTTGGAGACCAGGGATGTCCTCACACCGACATGCTGGAAGAAGCTGGCATTATCTCCATCACCAGGACTTGCACAGCACTCTCCTCTCTAGCAGCTCGTGGGGGAACCACTGGACCTGAAATACACTGGCAATTCCTTCTGCAGCCTCCTCAGAAAGGAGCACATGTGAAATACTGGGGGCCAACTGGCCTAGCGGAACGTTACTCCCTCTCTGCGAGATACCACAGCGTCTTCCCACACTAAAGCAGCATGTTCTTGGCTTTGGTTTCTGAAAGTCTGCAGTGATGTACCACATTTCAGTTTGGCACCAGCTGGAAGACAACCGTTTCACTCCTTCGGTTGAAGGGCACGCTATAGGTATGCATGCCACCTCGACTCAGCTTCCTGTTGGTTTTATCTTCCCATCATCAGGGAGGCACACAAACACAATTTACATGCCAAACCATCAGCTCTGCATTGGCAAGTCCTGTTCTTCAAGGATCCTTTTCACGCTCTCCACAATGGTCCACACTTCTGCCATGGCACCTCGACCTGCAAGGTAAGAGGAAAACCACATGGTGAAATCCAGGTCCCACACAGACAGCACGAGGTATGTGCTTCCCCTGTCCTACCACCTCTCTTCTCCACACGCCGCAGTGCTGCGGAAATATTAGGTGCACAATGGTGGCACAGCACAGCAAAGCTCACCAAGTATCCCCATGTGTTTCCTCATGACTCGCCCAACAGAAAGCAACTGTGGAGGCCAGAGGATCTGCTCAGTCCACCTGATTCTGCAGGGGTTTTGTGGCATGGTTGAATGCCATCAGGGAAGGAGAGCGAGAAGAGTATTCATGCTAACTTAGTTTGGCTTGTAACTCAGAAGTCTAAGCAGGAGCACAACCTCCTCAGACAGTCAATGGAGAGAGGCAGGAAACCTCAAAGGGAACTCATATGACCTTAATAAGTACCTCATGTTCTGAATCATCTCCAGAGGTGTCTGCATCTGACCCTTAACCGCACAGGGAGTTACTCTCTTAAGCTCACAGTGCCCTGGGGGCAAGTGTGCAAAAGTGCCCCCAAAAAGTGTGTGGGTAGCAAAAATACTCTTTCATCTCTGTTCTCCAGTGTAAACACTGTGTGCGTTCAGTATCTTTTTGAAATGGCCCTTGCCTATAAAAAACTTGCTGAATTCATACCATTCCCATGACTCTGCAATTAGACCCACATTAGAGAAAGCTCTCCTGGATTCGCACCAGCTTGAATCTTGGGAGTAATTCTTGGAGAAGAATTACTGGACAGAACAAAATGTAAAAGCTTTTTGTTTTGGACTGGCTAGCTGCCAGATAAACATCTAATCTACACTGTGCTGTTGCTTCTCTCTGAAATACTTTTTAAACTTAGGTTCCGAATTTTAAGGCCATTAAGATCATTAAATAATCTTGTCCAACCTCCTGTACTGAACTCGGCACTCACAACTCAGTCCATTCACTCCTGTAATTTGCTTGGGGCTGAGGAAAGATACTTCTCCCACCAGCATTTGTCTCCATTGGAAGACTGAAAAGATGGAGTCTCTATTGATCTTTTGTCCTGCCGGCTAATTGCTCTAAAAATTTAAAATACGTGCCTCATTGATCATCAGAAATTAGTTCTGGGAGGTTTTGTTTTCCTTTTTTTTTTCTGGTCCACTTCCACAGCTGGGTTAGCGAGCGCACAGATGAAAAACTAAACCAGCAGCCTCCAAAGAACAGTAACAACTTGAGGGCCGGCAAGAGACAGAGGGGAAGGGGAAAGATCATCCTGATCAGCATGAAGAGGTGCTCTCTTGTGGGCAGATCAACAGCCCTGAATCTGCCCGGACCCTCAGTTTTCCAGTACAGATGAGCCACCCGAGCCTTGCTTGGGAAGGTGTAATTGGATATAACTGAGGATTTGTGATGAAGAATGATTAATTTTGGAAGGTCAAGAAAATTTGGTTTCCCTGCAAAGTAAGACTCATTCTCCACTATGCCTTTTTCAGACCTGTAAATCCCAGGAGGTCTGAAGCATCCTGTGGACAAACTACAGGCAGATTTGCGCCCTTCTGATCTCCTAACCTCGAGGAGAGGACCTGCAGCTGACAGGTCCTGCTAAACAAGAGAAATTCCCTGACTGCCTCTGCATGGTTTGGCAGAGCTACACCCTTCAAGAACATTTCCAAGGCCTGCCTTCATCCTCCACCACCCACTTCTTCAACATCTTTTGGCAATTCACAGCTGGATTTTTAGGTTTAACAGAGCAAAATCTTGCTAAGCAGCCTGTCTTACAGCACAGTTCGTACCTACAGGTAGAAATCTTCCAGTGTGCCAGGCTCTAGAAATCCAGCCAAGGATGATGAAGATACTAGCAGTTTGGAAACATTTTTGCAAAGGCAAATTGCTCCAGGCTCATGTGTGGTACAGCACCTCTCAAAGCTCTCTTTATATCGTGGTACATGGATATCATCAAGGCCAACAGCAGGTAGCTTACATTTAACTATCCAATCAAGGAAACATTTTAACTGTCAACTTGATTTAATTTGTTATTGTAACTCTCTTTTATCTGGACTCTATGCCTAAAAATAGCCATTTACTAAGGAAGAAAAATTAATTGGGTAAAGCTTGTAATGCAGAAACTTGGCGGCAGTCAGGATCTGGCCCGTATCAGGTGAGACCAGCCACATGAGTTGAGGAAGATAAATCTCTTTTACAGCAAGGCAAACCACAATGTCAACAGACAAAACTGGTGCAAACGGAATCTCTTTTCTTCTGCACCAGATGTGTGAGCTTTGCTACCTGCTGCTTGGGTGGAAGCTGTGGATGAAACTCACAAAACCAGCATGAGTGTGGAAGAAGAGGCCTTGGAGTGAAAGGCCTAAAAAAAAGAGGGAAAAAAGGAAAAAGTCAGTGGTGGAGACTGTCTTGGGTCTTCAGAGACCTGGAGTCCATTACTGCTGTGCTGGTTTTGGCTGGGATAGAGTTAATTTTCTTCACAGTAGCTAGAATGGGGCTATGTTTTGGATTTGTGCTAGAAACAGCATTGATAACACAGGGATGTTTTTGTTGCTGCTGAGCAGTGCTTAACACAGAGTCAAGGCCTTTTCTGCTTCTCACACCACCCCACCAGCAAGTAGGATGGGGATGCACAAGAAGTTGGGAGGGGACACAGCCGGGACAGGTGACTCCAACTGACCAAAGGGATATTCCATACCATATGACATCATGCTCAGCAATAAAACTAGGGGGGAGGTTGGCAGGGGGGCTGCTGCCTGGGGACTGTCTGGGCATTGGTTGGTTGGTGCTGAGCAGCTGTTTTCATTTGCATCGCTTGTCTTTCCTGGGTTTATTTCTCTCTCTCTGTTATTTTCCTTTTCATTACAATATTATTATTATTTCAATTATTAAACTGTCTTTATCTCAACTCACGAGTTTTCTCACTTTTACCCTTCTGATTCTCTCCTCCCATCCCACTGCGGGGGAGTCAGCGAGTGGCTGTGTGGTGCTTAGTTGTGGTGCTGGGGTTAAACCACGACAACTGCTTTGCCATAATTTTCCTACATACTGGCAGGAAAATCCTGGCGTTTTCCAGCAGGAAAATCGTGTTGTGAATTGACTCACAAACACAAGCGGAGTTGAGTCAGATGTGGCTACTACTGCCCCAGCTGTCTGTACCATCCCTCTCCTACAAGCTCCTTCAGGAGTTTGTTCTCACAGTAGAGACAGCTGAACTGAATATAAAGCAGCTCCCAAATGACTGCTGGTGTAATGAGGTAACTCCCAATCAACATTGGTTTACTTTGCCATCCTGAACTACAAACCACAGCAATTCACATGCTGCTTCTCATGTGGCTCATGCGTCCCTGTCACAAAGGTGGCAACCCCCAGGAAAGGGGCAGGGCAGAGCAGCAGAAGGTGGAAACTGTGTTCACCATCCAACTCTAATCTGTTTGTGCTGGTGAGTCAACTCATGTGGCCCTTTTGCATCTCAGATCCCCATCTGTGAAACAGTGATGACAGCTCTGCCTCAGGTGCAGGAACCTGCAAGAATAAGCACATTACCCATCAGGAGGCACTCAGCTGCTTTCTACAGGAATAGAGATCCTATATATGTACTAAAAAAGATGAAGGGAAAAAAATAAAGGACAAAGAAGCTATGCCAGATGGCCTTTCCACTTCTGCCAAAATGTCTGCGCAGAATGACATCTTTTGGGCGTTTTCCCTTAACATTATTACAAGTATGTAAGAAATTTGATGTAATCAGGTCTAAAATCCCAGTGGAAGCATAATTGTCCAGGATATTTCAAACTGATGCCTGAGTTACTTGACTACACTTACCTAACTAAATATTTCTTAGTCTTCAGCTCCAAGAAAACGTTCTCTATAAGCACTGCGTCTACCTAAGAATTCAGAAACTAAGCCAGCCCTAGAATTTAACCATGAAGAACTTTTTAACATCCTGTCTTTGCTCAAACTGTTTATTGAGCTGACAGAGCAGTTGAAATCCTGCTAGAGTTGGGGTTGTTAAACAAAAGTATGAGTATACTACTATGCAGGTAATAGCACATTTGCTATTATGGCTAGAACTGGGCAACATTTTACAGACAATTTGTCCAAGAAAATTTTGATAAAAAGTGAATCCAGTCACTCAAACTGCTTGTATAAAAACCCTTCTCAAAACCTCCCAAAAGTCAAAATACCTCAATTTAAAGCAGCTCCTAAAATGCAAGTGAGACCATTTTAGTAGTATTTCTTAGCTCTGCAAGTTAAGTCTCTTGAAACTGAGTGTCACAATGTTCCCTATCCCCCTCTTTCACTTCACAGATAAGTCTGATGTCAAAACCCCAAATCAAAACTCGATTGGGAAGCTGAAAAGTAACCCAGGCAACAAAGAACAACAAATGTTAAATGCATGTCCAGCTACACCCTCAGCCACGTCTGCAAAGCGCTTATTCTCACCGTCTGCACTCAGGGATAAGATATTATCCCTATGTTAGAGATGAGGAACTGAGGCATGATGAAAACAGCCCACAGTCACAGTAGAGGGCAAGGTCAGGACACCCAAATCCCAGGCTGATAACGCTCACCACAAAGCCTTCCTTCTCTTCGATCTACTCTCTTTTTGAATGAGTGTTTCTTTTAAATATCAGGCCTATCTAACGGCTCATTTGAAAGCCTGGCTTGGATGGTCTCTTAAGACTACTTAAAAATTAATGAACAAGAGTAATAGGTATCAGCTAGCACAGGGCAAAGCTTCAGTTTGTTTGTATAAACCCTGGCAGTGAGCACCTGCTCCCCACAGTTCAACATCTTGAAGGCCACATGGCAAAAGAATGCACATCCCTTCAGGATAAGAGCAGCACTCATGCAGGAAACCAGTCAGAAGACATGCAAAAGGACTGACCTTCATCTCCACACATTAGTTTCTTCACCACACAGGGGATCTCCGTGTAGCCAAAGCCTTTCAGCTGCTCCACCTGCTGAGCTGTGATGGGATGTTCCCACATGGCTGTGTTCATAGCAGGGCAGAAGAGCAGAGGTTTGCTCAGATCCCAAGCACGGATGACACAAGTCTGCCAGAGAAGCCAAGAGGTTCAGCTCTGAGATGGGTTGTCTTTCCTCATTCCTTCTCATCACTTTGCTGCACAGAAGCACTTTCCCAGCCTGGGTGTCATTAGAGGGCCAAAAGCCTCAATCTGTCAGTGCAGCTGGACTAACCCACAGGCAGATCCACAGGGCTGCTACTAATTTGTATTACATTCCAGCAAAGCTCATCTCTGACAGGCAAGAAAGATGGAGGAGGCTACAAAGATGATAGATCCCATCCTACACCGGCTCAGGGCCAAGCAAGCAGCCCAATCGCTGGAGCAAACCAAGCTGGAACACGATGTGTGCAGACTGCCAGCCCATGTGGGAGACTAAGAGAAGCTGAAAGGCGGCCACAGATCATATCAGCTATAGAGAAATCCCCAAGCAACACTTCAGATAAGCCAGCTGTAGAGCTAAACACAAAAAGTTGGCAAGCGAGTCTTTTTTAAATGATACACCAACTGGATCCGTAACTCCTTACAAGGGAAGCACTGCTGCTTCCAGGATACAAACAGAGGATAACATGAACACATCTGGGCTGTTGCAGAAGATGCTGGCAGATTACAAACCATCTAGCAGCTGTGTGCTACAGGGAATCATATCTGACTTCTCAGCAATACAGAACTTCCAGATAATCTAGTATCACCTCATCTCCTTAAAAAGATAAATACTGGTTGCTCTTAATGCAATGTCCATCAGTTTCCCTAGGCCTAGCAGCATTTAAATCATGTAAAGGGAGCTTCCCAGGTAGTAACAGTCCCTGGTGCAGGGTCTCTGCTCAGACTGTAGAGTACTTACGAGAACCCTGCCCATCCTTTCTTACACACTGCGATTTGAACCCTTCCCAGCACAGGTAAGTCTGCTAGAATCTGTTCTAACTTGCCAGCCAGCACCTCCAGCACTTGCTTTCCTTTGCTGGAGCTACCTCTTACCTCCACAAGGCTCTCTGAAAAGACTGGCAGAAGTTTGTGAAGCCATGCATCCCTAACAACCTTCCTGAGCTCTTCCCTCTCCTACCACCATCATATCTATAGTACCAAGGGGACCCAGGACAAGACACTGCTTGTCCCTGCCACAGCTCTTTCTGGCTTCTCTCAGGTCTCTAGTGATCTGCTCATACAAATGAGGACTGTTGTTCTGGGTGTACTTTGTTCATTTATATGCAATCCCTCTTGCCTGAACAACTAAGTTGGTCATGAAGGGCTCCCTGGCCAGAGCTGATGCGCTGCCCTCCGTTCCTAGTTCTAGCCTCCTTGCATTACTGAAGGGTGATGCACCACAGCCAACATTTGCAGACCTGCAGCTTCCTGGCAGATCTTTGGCGTGGTTAATACTTATGACTTCTAATGAAGACCTAGTGCCTGGACACAAACCATTCAGCCCTGCTGAAGGTCTCCATCACCCAACAGAGAAGCACACTCTCTTTTAATACACTTTTCTGATCAGCCTTTGAGCCACAGCACTTTTAATACCAGAAGAACAAGCCTGAACAAGCAAAATCCCCTGTAGCTGAAACTGGAAGGTAAGTTAAGTGTGAGCATGTTTGAATTTCTGTGCTATGCAGTTAGGTAAGGGAGGAGGTGAGGTAACAGGAAGTAAACAATTTTATCTGATCTCACAGGTGTCTTTCCAGATTGCATCTAAAAAATGCAGAGAGGAACTCAAAAGTGAGTGCAAGTGTGTATGCGCACGCACGTGTGTGTAGATGCATGACGGAGAGAGGGCGGAGGTAGAAAGAAAGAAATACTGCCCATCAGAAAAAGCAGGAAAGGCACAAAGCAGGAAGCAGGGACTGGGAAATAATGGAAGAGACTGACAGAGCCAAGGAGTGGAAAGGGATGTAGGTCAGGGAAGGAAAGAACAACTGTTTGAGAAGGAATAGGTGAACCATACTGGAGGAAGAGAGAGACAAGCATACGAAGTGGGAGCAGAACATGCAAATCTCACTGTTCTCTATGCTGTAGAAGCACAAGAGTTTCCATGAAAGAAAGGTCAGACAGTCTAATGCTGGGAGGTGAGAGAACTCTCAGGCAGAGCTCCGGTTACTCACCAGCAGGTTGTCACAGATGCCATTTGCAAGCTTTGCCAGTGTGTTTGCATCAAGAGGTGCCACCAACATGAGGTCAGCCCACCGTCTGAGCTCAATGTGCAAGACTGGGTCTGAACGTCCTTTCCACAGCTGTGGATGAGAAAAGACGCAGATTACCGAACCCTCACAATGAATGCTGTGAGCAACAGGCACTTTATCAATCCCACATTAGTAACCACCATGTAAACTTAAGGGGAAAGAATTCCTCTCACATCAAGCAAGATCTGACAGCATGGAGAATCAGGGACTGCAGCCACAGTGCTCGTGTTTCTGACTTCCCTTTTCCTCCAGCAAAGGCCGTGTTGCAGCTACATTTAGGAAGCACATTTAACAGACGGCACATATCTCCTTGGTGCTCTACAAATGGGTATCCTTTCCCCACAAAGACAACAACTCACATGTCCCACAACCACAGATTTCAACTCACAGGAAAGAGCTTTCCCCATCCACTTCCCATTCACATCATCCCTCGGCTTCAGAAACGTTCAAAAGAGCTCCCTCAACACGTACCATATCTGAGCAGGGAAAGGAGCTCCATCCTATCAGCCAACTGGCTTCAGCCAGTCAGGACCAAACCAGGGGTCACATTTCCTGAAGGACTCATGCAATTTAGAAGCCTCACATTTCTTTAAAGTGAAACTATCCACTGGCTTTTAACAAGGTATAGACCCCTAAACTGCACAAGTCACTTTTCAATTAGGATGCACATCCCTACACATACTCACAGCAGCAAAGTAAACCCTTGTAACTACAGTACGGAACAGTCCTGTTAGCCTTCCCTAGGATGGATGAGGTTTAACCAGCTGGGCACTTCCCTCCTCTCTTGGCTCTTAAGTGAATATTTCTGTTTTCACTAAAGCTCTGAGTTGCTCAAGAGAGCCCATGTCTTTTCTTAACTGGGAAAGTGTCAAGAGAAGCAGCAAACAGCATCAGGTGCTTAATCCCCAGAGAATACACACAACCACAGGCCAGCAAGAGGTGCATCAGGGCCACAAATTGTTCCTTCTCTGAGTCACTGGAAACCACAACAAAAAGACAGCATCTGGAAAGCTGGTGCTTCCTGACACCTTTCCCAGCTCCTCCACTCACTCCTAGTTTTTTCTAGAAGCACAGAAAATTGTAGTCTTATTTTCAGAATAAAATCTCTCACAAAGAGATGCTGGGACGGGCTTATTTCCCACCCTTCTGTCAGAATGGCATGTCATAAGGGCTCCATGCCTGTGTTCCAGTGTGCCAGCAGACCTCAAAGCCTGACCTGCTCCTCTCCTATCACCCCACCGAGGGTTCCTCAGAAATAACTTTGCCTGAAGCTGTAGCACCCTGGGACCCAGCAGATCTCCACCAATCTCCCAGACCTGCCAGAAAGCTTCCTGGCCATTGCCATTAGCAGGCCTCTCGTGGATACAGGCTAATAAAAGCGATGTTCACATGTGAGTGCATTGGCAAGAGTACTGGTAAAGAGTAGATCACCTTGTACTCAGATCAGTACTGCAAAGTAGAGACAAAATGTATAGAAAAACCATGTTGATGTTTATACAATGAACTTCTCTGTACTCAGGGACTCAAAGCATGTCAGCAAAACTGTAGTCAAGAGAAAAAGCCATTTTACAGGGTCTAGAGATGTTCACAGCCCTGACAACTGAGCTATCCTTTACTGGAATGGCTCTTCTATGTATGCGCATGAGCACAGATGCGGACACCTCCAAGGTAAACGCCACTTCCACCAGGAGAACCTCTCTTAACTTCCAGCCACCAATTACACTGGTGCACAACACCTCCAGGTACTGGTCTTCCTCTGCACCACTACACCAGAGTGGCCTTGCCAACACACGGTTACCCAGTCAGACACCAGTCTGAGTTTTAAAGCAGTGTGGGTAGTTTTGTGAATGTCAGTGATGTCTGCAGATTCAGAACATGTAGTGTTAAGGAGAATTAAGCTGTTGCCTTCATGACAAGTATGACTCATGACAAGCACCCAACACCCTCACTGAGACTCTGCAGCAGCTTTCTTGACATTTCCTGATACTCCTCTCAGAGCTGCGGATAGCGGCTGAGCCCAGGGTGGCAAGAGACCACTTTTACCCTCATTGCCTGCTGCAAGTCTGCTAGGACAGTACAGGATCCTCCAGTATAGCCAGGGCAGCCTTTCTTTTCTTCCTCATTTACAGCACAGTTGGAACCACGTTCTTTGAAAGCCATATTCCAAAGCATCCATTATTAGAAGAAAGAAGTGAGTCTTGGCCCAAGATTAAAAAATAAATCAATGCGGTCTCTTGCAAAGAAACTTAGAGGAACACTTCTATTTGCTGTTCAGCACTTGAAGACCAAGTGAATCTCCCAGGGAGCTTGCTCTTTTTCTGAAGCATGACCCGTTGGCCTTCCAGAAGCAGAAGGCACGAGTGCATGACAGAACTATGTGAATTACAAAACATGTGGCTAGTGGGGATAGGACAGAAGCCCTTGCAGTCTCCAAAGGAAGAACAACTCACCTGCCATTCATCTTCATCGCTGTAGAGGGTGACAGGAATCTCCTGGGCATTGTAGAAATGCTTTGCTCTCTCAGTAGTGACTACCTTCACTTCAAGCTAATCGGAAACGAAAGAGAAAGACAGTCCAATAGTTAGACTTAAGGACAGTCCTGTAAAGCTGGGTATAGGAAGAAGGCTCGAGCGACTAAGATTTTGAAAGCTGGGTGGATTCTCAGAGGACTTTTCCCTACTGTGTGCATGTGCATAACTGCACCTCTTCACAGCTGAAAGACCAGGCTGCTGCAGGTGTTCATAGGAGCCAAAGACTCATTTCACTGCCACCCTAAAACAGGCAGGTGATTAGTCACTGCCTGCCAAACATGTTCACGTGGCCAATTCACAGCAGGGACAGCAGAGAGGACAGAGCAGGTCAGAATGAGATGCAGTTCTGTGCAGAACTTCAGAGAGACAGTAAGAAGCAGCAAACCAAAGCTCTGTGAAAGGTGCCCTTTAAATCTCAAAAGACACCTGCCAAAGGGAGTAGGAGAGCATCTTGCTTCAGTGGATTCCCTTAATCGCAGCACAGAGGAGTGCCGAGGGGTGGCATGCCTACACAGCACTTGCAGGATCACTCTTCCCACACTCAGGGCCAAGAGGAAGCTCTCTGCCATGACAAAGCACAGTGCTGAGTGATCAAAAGTCCTGCTGAGGGACAAGCTGACTAGCTGGGTCTCAGCACCACCAGCACAAAGCAAGCCCACCTCTGCTGCACAAGGGTTCACAAGAAAGAATGGCTTTGGAAGACAGAGTATGATTTCTTGGTGGAATGGACCATGTTGTGCCCCTCTCTCTGTCTCTTTCTGCCCCTGCCTCTCCCTCTCAATGATATCCTGGTGACAAAAGTGGGGAGCTAGCTACAGACTACTGGATACTACTTTCTACAACCATGTTAAATCAGACTTGCTTCAGCAAGGGGTAAAAATACCAGAAGCAAGTCAGGGTTGTGTCTTCCAGCTATCCTTCCTATCAAGGTAAGATGTTGGAAAGAGGAAAACCTCTGTGTAAGTATGTCCATAGCACAAGGTTTCTGTGCAGCCAGAACAGTAAACCAGTGGCTTCCACAAAGGAAAGAGAGACTGGGTGAAAATATACGAAGGTTCTCTTTGAAATCTTAGATACATCTGTCTGCCTTGATGAAAGCCAGTGGAACCTTCAGTTATATGGTATACTGGGGAAATCCTATCCTGTCCCTTGGATGGTTATTTGACATGCACACTTATGAGGTGCTAAGATGCCCTATGACGTGAGATCCTTTCATTTCCTCCTGCAGAAATCTTAACAAGTGGACAAGAGGTTTTTTCCCTGGTTTCTACATGTCTCATGACCTGCTCAAAGCTGTAGCCCTGACAAATGTTGCAAACAGCTGCCTGCCACATGCAGTGAAGCGGAGGTGCTCGGCACACACCGGGATCAGCCACAAAGCAGAACCAGTGTCGGAGTGGCTCTGCATGTGCTGATCATCCGTGCGGCACATGCAGCCATATTTCCATCTGCAATTCCTCACAAGGATGTACCTTAAAACCAGTCAACAGACAGGCCAACACATGGAGGGAGTACTCCGAAAGACTGTTATTGTGGAAGATGCAGCTCAGACCATTGATTCCTGTGAAAAATAACCCTTTTCATTATTGGCCACTTTCAACCACAGTCTGCTCCTTCAAGCAGTTCACAGTGCAACCCACCGCATGGTTCTATTAGCTCAACAGAGAGATGGAGAGAAACCAACCTCATCAACAACTCCTTCCCAACTAGAAAATTGCGGCCTGAGGTACAAAACTGCTGAAGCACTCGGTCTGTGCACTCTGGCTACAACAGACTGCTGAAAACCTCCAACCTCCAAGAAGCTATCTTCAACAGCAGTGGTTGAAGTGACAAAACATGCTAACCTATCTCCTCAACACTATCTATTTGACTGGGAATGGAGCAGTGTTGATTATCTGCACCCTCCATGACTAGAATAACAGCTTGGAGCTGTGGAAAATCCCAGCCTTAGCATATCACGGTCTTTTGGTAATTTTTCCTGTTTCCTGAAGAAAAAATAATGGGAAAATATAGCTGCACATAACACCAGTATTTGGTACTATACATTTGGTTCTTTGCCTCTTCTAAATGTCTGTTCTTTTTCAAGCAACCGTAGCTTGGAATCACAGCTGTGCTTCTAGTGCTTTCGAGTGTGAAGATCATATTCACAGCAATCAACCGTATTGTTTCCATATTAACCTCACCTCACAGGAAGCTGTTTGGAGCCAAGCAGCGACACCCACAAAGGTGCTAACGCTGCTCTCTGCTATGCCATGGGCTTCAAGGAGGTGTTAACCTCGCAGTCTGCAAGATACTATTTATTTGGTGATTTTAAGGAGCAACACGCAGTTTAAAGGGCCACATCTGCTTTCTGAAATGGTACCGGCAGGCCAGGTCTGCACAAAAAGTTTTCAGCAGTAGTGTTTGTTAGTGGTATTCTTATTTTACAGTTAGCCATAAAGATACAAGGATTTGTTAGGTGATCCAATTCTGTTTACCTTATGACATATTTTGTCACTTGCTGCTTCAATTGCATCATTATTCAAAATTTTCTAATCTAGACCAGAAATACCTATCTAAAGCTAAAGGATACACAAAAGCCCCCAAAAGACACTCTGCTTTTTGTCATTTTTTTAAGATAGTTTCATAACCATCTCCAATCTTAAAAAAAAATACGTATTTCTTCAAAGCATCAGCTCAGGAACGGGGAATAGCTGGCTATCGAGTACTGCATCCAACCCACTACAAGCTAGAGTGTACCAGAGGGATATGTTCAAGGACTCTGAGTGGTGGTGACTCCACCACTGCCCCAAGAAACTCTAATAGTTAGAACTCTATTAGTTAAATATTCTCCCTAATTAAGGTTTTCTGCTGGGGTGGGCTCCTGGATCCCTTGTTCTGAGCAAGTCCTTCAAGTCCCTCCAGCTATATTGGAAAGAGATCAGTGTTCTCAAGATCACTTTAGCCTACATAGTTTTTGCCTTCTATTTACCTGGCACACCCTCTGTTTGCTTGTGGTTATATCTCTGCTTAAACAGTAAAGTCAGTCTAGCCACACTCAAACTCCTTTACTGGAGACAGTTTATACTAGTTAAGAGTTCTTTTACTTGGACCACTTCAGCCATTTCTCCAGAATCAACTTTACTGCAAAACTGCTCTCCTGTGTTCACGCAATATTGTTGGTCTCTGTTAGATGATTCTCCTGTCACAGCCATTTCTGCTTGGGGCAAGGGTGTGCATATGATTTTTTTCCCCAGAACTTTCTCAGTTTTGACAACAAAATCTTTACAGACAGACCAAGCTTCGGTAACAACTGCTGCAGAAGAGAATGAGTAGCTCCTCTTTTAAATGGCACCTACAAGCTGACGTAGATGCTACCCGGCAGGACCGCAATGAAATGACATGACAATGTGAAGTCCAGATGACATCCTGTAGCTTCAAGAGCAATACATTTCACCCACAGAAAAGGCTGCCGTTTCCTTTCTTTATGACTAACCAATATCCTGCCAATGTGATTTTTGTCATTGTATTCCTGCCAGGACATTCAAAAATCCTAGGAATCAGCCTGAGACAACGTGTGTGAGTCTAGCCCAACCACAAGAGTTACCCACAGTGTTCTGATGTGACACTATGTGCTGTCTCCCCACAATGCCAGGTGCAAGGGTAATAACCTGAAAGGCGTAAGCTGATGCCGCATAAATTTCCTAGATCTTCAAAGAGGTTAAACAAAAGGTAGTAAGATGTAGTCACATCCATTACCACCCTCAAGGAGATGTTAAAGTTTAATGAGTGCAAAATCACACTGCCAAATTGTTCACTGAGGATCATCTTAGCCAAAACATCAATTTAAACAAACCACTCCAGTTTCAAGCCTCTGACCACATCTCCTTTGGTATCAAAGCCTTCCTCTGCTCCTGCCCTGCTTCTGCAGATGGCTTTTTAATGTTCTGTTCCATCAGTAAAGAAATTGATGCAACAGGCTTGTGCAGGACTTAAACTCAATGGAAAAGTTACACTGACTCAGCAGACTTTAGATCAGACCTTGAAATCACATCAGAAACAAGTAGATAAATAATTTTAATTAACAAATTAAGGACTGGCTGCTTACTTTCACTTTTTATGCAACAAAAGCCTAAAACCCGTGAGTGCAAAGCCTGCAACAGATGTCAGAGAACGTATGGGCCTTCACAGAGAATTCAGGTCCAACCATCTGCAGTTTTTAATCATGAATCAAATGCTCAGAGAAAAGGAACATGTTTGACCTAGATTGCTACACTGGATCATTTGCATTCTTCCTGTCATCTGCGGAGAAGGATGTTCCAAGCACCAAGAGCAAAGGAAAAGAGACAACAGCAAAGTCAATCCAAGAGATGGAGGACCAGAAGATGCACATCCTGCATCCCTCACTAACAAGAACACAACTGCTGGGGCTGGCCCTTACCTTGTTACCCCCCCGTCCTTGGCATCGTTTGTCTTTGGCCTTCTCACTCCAGGCTAGGACCTTTGGTCTCACTAATCATTTCAGGTCAAGCAATAAATTAACTGAGGCCCCTCCTTGCAACCCACAAGGCCAGCCCAACTGGCAGAACAGGTGCCCAACAGCTCGCCACATCTTCAGTACCCTTTCCAACTTGGATATCAGCATCAACCAGATACTTCAGAGTTACTTGGGGATTGCATCTCTTCTGGCTCTGTGTTAATGTATCTACAGGTAAAACCTCCTAAATCATCCATAAGTATATTTGTTAAGCAATCTAACAAATATATCTGGATATGCAAATGCACCCTCTTGCTCCTGCAACTTTTTCATTTCACTGCTCCAGAACATTTGCTTCATTTCTTAAAAGCTAAAGGTTTTCTATGTTTTCCTCTAACTTTATCCTACAGCAAAAGTTAGCAAATTTCCCTCCCTGATTCTAGTTACTAGTGGCCTCTGCTGGACACCTCTGTTACTCCAGACAATAAACTTTTTTTTTTTTTTTAAAAAAAAACAAAAAGCACAGACACACATAGCAGCTTGTTTTTTCTCTTTCTGTTTTTACAAGATCTGGTTTCCCTTTGCTGGTCAGACAGCAGTGTCCATCTTTGCAAACTCCACACCTATGGAAAACTGCAAGGTCCCAGTTAGAGATTTCAAGTTCCTGAAAGCATCCACCTGTGTCTGTAGCCATATCTGATTAAGCTGACTGATAAGGATGTATTCCGAAAAAAAAAAAAAAAAACCAAAGCAAGGACCTATTCAATCATTTTTGAGAGAATGAAGCAAGCTGAACTGAACAATTTCATATTCCAGAATCTAAATGTTTGCCTACGGAAATATCCAGGAACAGTTACTGCCCTCAAGACCTGATTTAAAGCTAACTCTTAAGTATAAAGTAGTATGAAACGATAGGAAAAAGTATGAATTGATTTTTTTAAAACAGAAGGACCCCTTCTCCAAAACATTTTCAAACTAAAGGGCTGAAAGCCAGAAAGAACTTTTCATTTCAACAGAAGCCATGTAATCTCTCCTCGAAATGAGAAACAGGGTAACACTAACTTTATGGGACTTCTACCAACAGATTTACTTACCCCAGGGATTTTCAGCAATTCGGCAATGAGGAGAGGTAGCTTCAGTGCAGCCACGCTTCCAGTCACACCCACCAGGACATGGGATTTTTTCTGTGGCACAGATGAGCTCTTTTCTGCAGAAAACCCTGGTTCTGGCGGTGAGAAGGGTTCCATGCTCTGATCAAACTCTACAAGCACAGAAAAAGAAAGCCGCTTGACTAATGGCGCATCCAACCGAGCCTAGCATAGCAGGGCTCCAACGGCAATGTATTCCCGAGGGCGTGCATTTAAGCCTGGACTATGCAGAACCCGGAGTAATTCAGTCTGAGTACCCGCAAAGCTCTCAAGCATCAGCAGACCTTTAAGCATAGCAGTAGCCTACTCCTCCCATTTAATTGCAACTTTCTCTGGGATACTGGTAAACAGAATGCTGAAACCTGCACAAAAGTGTTCTGGTAAAGCCCATGGCCCCCAAAACAAAGATACACTCTCAAACATTGAACATGGCCCAGAATTTACAATAAACGTACCTTTCACGCTGACTGCTGGGAAGACACGCACCGCCCGGGCAGGTCAGTGTCCCTTCACACTCCCTGGTGAATAATAAATACAGGGAGACATTTCAATAATTAAAAATTTTGGGGCCCTGAGGCAAGCATTATCATCTTACTTCTTATCATATCACTACATGTGTACAGCAGTGCTAGAAATGACTCCCTAGCAGATGGGGAAAAAACCAAAACAGTGAATAAGATGCAGAACACAACAGCCACTGAGTGAAAACACCTCCTCAGGGACTTGAAAGTTAGAACTGCTCACTTCCCCACCAGCGCCAAGCAAAGCAATCCGCAGGCTGAGGTGGCCGCTTCCAAAGCGGGCTGAGCCGACAGCTTTATTTCAGGTCTCCTGCCTCCTCCCAGCTACCCTTCACTGCTGCCACGCCAATAAGTCACAAATAACTGTTCTGGTGAGGAAAAGCGTTCCTCCGCAGAATCAACACGAACATCTCTGCTTAACGAGTAATTAGCAAAGAATAAATCCACTTCTTAAAAAATCTGAAAAATGTGCTTCTGGCAAAGACACTACACTGGGATTCAGTAAAGTTTGTTCAATGTTACCAACATCCATGTTATTCAGAGGAAGTTACTTGGAAGCATTTTGGGTGGAACAAAAAGGAAGAGAGAGATGCTTACACTGCCCTTACTTTCGGTACCAACTCAGATGTTGGAGTGAGGGGGCTGGATTCCTGAGAGAGAGGAATTTACCTCTTTGGTCACTTCCTGGCATGATTCGGCAGCGGGTTTAATTTAGGACCCTTCATGGGGGTGTGATTCAGATCACGCTTGTACAGCAGTTACGTGTCAGTCTGACCTCTGCACCCAGCCACCGAGACACAAGAGCACAAACGTCCTTTCTAACCTCCTCACACCCGTCAGCTGCAACACAAAAGCAATAACATGTTCTTTTTCCATGCTCGGCTTGCAATTAATACATTTAACTCAGCCCATGAGGTTTCTTAGTGTGTTTGTAAAAAATTGCTAGGATAGGATCACGTTACCAGCTTGGACTTCTGTGCACTGATTAGCAAGAGTAATTAGAGGCAAGGCAATCCAGCATGCATATTTGCTAGGCGATTTCAATGCTACTGTAGCACTTCACATGTTTATCTATAGCTAATTAGAATTAAGTTAACGCCATCACAGCAAGGAAAACACCCACTTCCCTTATGATTACTAATGGACAATTAATTCACCGAAGCATCCACATCTTAAAGCCTGGAGACTAAGGCATAATTTTTTAATAGGCAGCTTTCAAAAAAGGCTATTAGTGACAAAACAAAAGCACGATATTCTGGGCCGTGCTTTCCTCTTACCCGAACACAGCTCTGGGGAATCAGGTAAGAAGCCATTAGAAAGCAAGCAGTCTACAGGCCTACTTATTTTATTAGCTTTTTAACTCCGCAGTTACGCTGAAAACAGCTTCAAAAGGCCGCTGAGACAGAAAACAGAACCAAGACACCCCGGAGACTTCCAAAACGTACACAAGTAACGTTTATATACCGGCAGAGGCACGACGGAGCCCGGTCAGGAGAGCGATAATCCCCTGAGCTCAAGCCCCGGCGACCGCAGGGGCCGGGCCGCGACCTGCTCCCGTGGAGGCCTCGACAAGATCCGCCGTCGCCTAGCAACGGGGGCGCGACCCCTCCACGGCCCGGAAGGCAAAGGGCACGCTGGGAAACGCTGCCCCGCCCTGCGCTGATTGGTGCCCGTCG